AGCCTCAGAAACCCTGTACAGGGTCGCTGTGAGTTGGAATTAACTCCACGGCACACAAGACACCATATCCATATGTATAGGTCAAGTTCATCAAATTGTAGCAAGTTACATTTGCTTCATTTACCAGACTTCTTTATCTTCCTCTAGCTGAGCTCTGGTCATTAATCCATAGATGCTAGGTCAGATGGGTGATATCTGCAAGTTTGGATGTTCTTATGCATCTCCCTCACTTTGTATCAACTGAATGCTTCACTCTCAGCTCTAGTCCTCCATGGCTAGGTCAGTGCCCATGGGCTCAGGAGTTCCCAGGTCTCCCCAAATTTAGCCAATCAGCCCTTGCTCTTTTCTTTCTCATCTCAATGTAGACGGGAGTCTATGGAACATGGTAAAACTCAGCCCATGTCTTCATTACTGTCTTTCCCCCACTTCCATGTATATCAGCACAGTCACCAGTGAGCTTACCTGCTTGCTCATGTGTTCCCTTTGAGTTTCAGTATTAGAGGGAGGTTTGTCCTGAAGGAACTTGATTGCTTGCCATTATGGGTCCCTGGTGAACAGCTTGCTTATTCTTGTAACAGCCAAACAATTGTGCTGATAGTGTTATAATGGTGGTGGTGGTTATGTGCCTTGGAGTTGGTTCCGACTCATAGCGAACCCTGTACAGGGTTTCCGAGGCTGTAAATCTTTACAGGAGCAGAAAGCCTCATCTTTCTCCCGTGGGACAGCTGGTAGTTTCGAACTGCTGACCTTGCGGTTCACAGCCCAATTCATAACTACTAAGCTACCAGAGCCCCTCTTTATAATGGTACGGCATATATATAACCTTTAATACACATGTCTTGATAGTCATAATTAAATGTCTGTGCCTACTGGCTTATGAATGTACTGTACTGTACTTTCTGTCATTATTTTTAATGTGAAGTTCTCCTATTTAAAAACTTAAGTTTACCATAAGCATACCAGTGTATGCTTCAAATCTTAGGCAGCAGCATCCAATCTCATGTGTCACACGTCTCTTTGAGTGTTATAGCTTTATCTGTTTAATTTTCTTTAGAAAATATTACCATGATGTGCATCATGGTTCCCAAATCCAGCAAAACCAATGCTAGTAATAGCAGCAGCAACAGGCAAAGGCTAAGTATCAATTTGGTAGTGAAACAAGGTTATTAAAGCAACATTAATGTGGAAAATAAGTGAATGTGATTATTACGAATTTAAATATGTTCGCAGAAAGTACAAATCACAGAATGTCCTATCTTTCAGAGTATGTCGAGGATGTTAATGATGCATGACGTATTTCGATACACTTGATAGGATAGACGGGAGTAATGTGCCATACACGATGGTACTTAACAACAACAATAATTATCTTCAGATCATTACGGATGTACTAAAGTTGTTTTCTGCAGTACAATGAACTTCATTTTGGGGTTTGTATTAAGTGCACAGTTACATGGCCTGCTATACAATATAGGAGCCCTGGTGTGGCACTGTAGGGTAATCAGTGGTCTGCTAACCAGTTCAAACCCACCAAGGACCCTGTATAAGGTCTCTTTAGAGTTATATTGTATGGGTTTCAACATACAATATAACGTGTCATTTTCTCCTTTGTTTCATATGTTGTTGTTATGTGCCATAGAGTTGGTTCCAACTCATAGCGACCCTGTACATCTTTACGGGAGCAGAAAGCCTCACCTTTCTCCCACGGTACAGCTGGTAGTTTCGAACTGCTGACCCTGAGGTTAGCAGTTTGATTCTTAACCACTACGCTACCAGAGCTCCTTGCTTTACATATAGGAGGAAAAATGTGATAAAGTTTAACACATCCATTTTCTTACAACATTGACTATGAAATCATGTGATAGACTTGCTTGTCCTATAAAAATGTGTACAAAATACAGGAATTTTAAACTTTGAAGGACACTTTGGTGTGAAAATCTTCTAATTCATTTTATTTTGTCTTGTGTCACATAGAGAATATCTGATTTTGGGTATAAAATATTGACTTAATCTTATAATTATGTCTTATATGGGTTGTTGTTGTTGTTAAGTGCTGTCGAGTTGGTTCCAATCCATAGCGACCCTGTATAGGATTTCCAACGAGCGGCTGGTGAGCTTGAACCACCTACATTGCAGTTCAAACAGACATTGCAGTGTCATTGGAAAAGATAGTATTGTCTATAAAAGGGAGATTTTGCTCTTTGCTCTATCTTGTCTTTTTCTAAACCTGTTCCTTAAAATTTGAGTCCATTATGTCTGACGATCTTACATATATAAGCCGTAATTGTGCTTTCTTTCAAAAAGTGGTTCTTAATATCCAGAGCTATTTCTGATACAGTGCTGATACGGGTTTGTTTTTTTTGTTTTTGTTTTTGCTGATACGGGTTTTTGACCTTTTTTTTCTTTCTTAATCATACTTGTTTGGAAGAATATTATCTGTATTTATCCATCTCCCCAAGAGGGTAACACATTTTAGCTATCTTGTTCTATTTTTTTCCATTTGAATATTTTATAATCTTTATGAGAGTACGTTTGTGGTATATTTTGTTTATTTTTGCATTTTAATTCCTTGGTTTTTTTTCCTGCTCTCAGTATGGAAATATATTTTATACAAATCTGAAATTGTCCAGTTTTGTGGTGGAAGTGTTTGTTTTTTAATGTGTGTGGCAGCCTTTGTATCTGCATTTTATTGAGTACAATATTGTTATGAATAATAGCTTAGGGCTCCTTTGTGTAATAATTTGATATGATTGATTGTTCAGCTTTGGCTAAAATTAGCACCTGATTATTCTGTTTAAGATTATAAAAGCTGGCACTTAGGTACTAGTTATTCTTACTCTATATATGGTACGTCTTTACTAGTTGCATGTCTATTCATTCTTAAGTTAGAATCTCAGTAACATCTTTATCGTGTACTGTTCCCATTAGTGTTATTTCTTTGTTCTTGATTCAAAGTCTTAGGAAATACATCAGTAGTTAAAGAGAAGCTTGTGACTCTTAATCCCAGCTGGCCTCCTATTTTTCCTCTGCAGGACAGCCCATGTATTCTCGTGAACATGGTGCTGCTGCATCCGAGCGACTTCAGTTGGGGACGCCGCCTCCTCTGTTGGCAGCTCGTTTGGTGCCACCTCGCAACCTCATGGGATCCTCCATTGGGTACCATACCTCAGTTTCCAGTCCCACCCCTCTGGTTCCAGGTAAGCTGTTGTTGATCTTTTTGTGCCTTAAGTTAACTAGTCTAAGAGGTAGTCTGGCATTCTGATCTGCTGTCACAAATTTCCTTTAAAACTCTCAGGTAGCTTTCTTTTCTGTTTCTCTGCTTCTTTGGTTTTGTCCCTAGTGGCTGCTAGATGATTAGGCCTCTTGTGTGTCTGTCATCTCTGGTGTCCTCTGTATTTACTTTCAGTGCCTCGGTAACAAAAGTCATGTTAATTATTTAAGCTAGTTTTTATTAGGTATATAGAGCATAATATCGACACCAAATTTTCTAGTTAGTTATGCATTACAAGAAAAACTAGGTTAATAGTTTTTTAGAATAAAATAAACATTTGGTTTCTTGCTGATCATGGATGAGCATACTTTTTTTTTTTTTTGTCTGCCCCTTATATGGACTGTAATATGAGTTTCATGAAAACTCTTTCCTTCAATTCACATGTGCTTTTTGAGGATCCATGAAGTGCTTTGTGGATGTCTCATGAGGTTTCAAAGATTTTTCACTTTACCTTTAGCTCTTAGTTCATCATAGTTAGCTGGAGGACTGTTAAAGTTTCTTGGGGTTTGTGTATTCCCAGGAATTGTAGAAAAGGTCATTTGATTGTATAACTTATTTAAAACTTTCCGCAGTCTTAACATAGGGGATTTTCTGTTAAGAGTACCAATGCTAACTGAAAACTTTTCATCACAGCTTATGGGTATTATACTCTGAATCATAGAAGTGATTGATCAATAATAAAAATTTGAATATACCTTGTTTATAGCTGAAATTTAATATGAACAGCAAAAGGATTTTTTCCTTTTAAAAAAAGATGCAAGGAGTTCTAAATTACAGTGATAAAAATCAGTGTCTCCAGTTAATCTAAATTAACCCTTTGTTCATTTTATGTAGACTGAAGCATATATGTACCACATAGTGACCAGTACTTTTAGATTTTTTTCTAAACCCGAAATAGTTATTTAGTGTTATAAATTTTTAAATTTAAAGTTGTAGAGAAAAACACATGAAGGTAGTGTTACAGTGGCATTGATCACGAGAGTTGGGATAATTATATTTATAAATGTAAAATTTAAATCTTAACTTGTTCCATTTGAAATATGTTTTATGTGTGAAACCAGCTATTATTTTCCCAATTTGAAGTTCAGATAACAAAGTGGATTTTTTTCTAATTAAAATTTTGCTAATTGAAAAAGGAATTGGTAAAACATAAATTACATTCATGTACATGAAATGTATCTTAAAATGGGCATTGGCATTTGAATTTGATTTTTTAAATGTGGGCATTGGCATTTGAATTTGATTTTTAATATATAGAATAAAAATGACTACATTTCTAAATCTGGAAATAATATCATTATTTATTAAGAGTAGGTTTATCAGTGTTTTGTGATGGGAACTTTTTCTTTCACTTCCAAAAGATGCATCTTTGTACTGTAGCAAAGAGAAATGCATATGGCTTGATATAATTATATTTGCTGAAGAAAACAATTTAGCAGTAGTTTATTGCATAGTAATGAGAACTAGTTCAACCAGTCTCTTGATTTCTTGTTGTTTTGTTTCCCTTCAGATACATATGAACCTGATGGTTATAACCCAGAAGCTCCTAGTATTACCAGTTCTGGTAGATCTCAGTACCGACAGTTCTTTTCAAGAACACAGACACAGCGTCCAAATCTGATCGGCCTAACATCTGGAGATATGGATGCAAATCCAAGAGGTGAGAACTTGACATTTTCTTGAGATTAAGCATTATGTAATAGCTAGGCATGGCACTGAAGTGATATGCGCTGGACCACAAGGTCATTTGAATTGCAAGGTTGGTGGTTCAAACTCACCAGCTGCTCTTCAGAAAACCCTATACAGAGTCACTGTGAGTCAGAATCGATTTTGACTGCATTTAGCAACAACCACAGTATCTAGGCATAGTTATTGCATTTATACTTCTGACCGCACTTGAAGAAGAAATTGAAGGCTTTAAGTATTTATACACTATTATTTTTAAGAGTGCTGTGTAAGCATCTCAAATTAATGTTTTGAATAATTATTGCTACATTTTATTTAAAAGCTATAATTAGAATATACTTACTTAGAAATGCGTTCTTGATAGTAATAGCAAATGCTTATGTGTGGCACTTACAACATGTATGTACTGTACTGTACTTTCTATCATGATTGTAATGTGAGCTTTCCCTACTCATAAAACAGTGTATGCTTTAAATCATAGGCAGCAGCATCCAATATACTAGTAACCCAATCTAATAGTGATGTTATTTAATTGTTACTTTAGTAGGCCTTTAGGCTGCTTCTGTTACTGAACTAGATATTGGGTATAGAGAGATGAAAAGGCCTAGTCTCTTGCCCTCAAATTGATCACTGAAGAGGCTACGTTATATTTTGAGAGGTATACTTCATAAAAACAACTTTGAGAGTTCAGACATTGTAGTTTTCTTTTGCTTATTTTAGCACTTATGATTAAAACTATGTATTAGGAGTGTCCTGGTGTAGCGCCATAGGATAAGCACTCAATCTCAAGGTTGGTTTGAACCTTGAGCAGTTCAAACTTATCAGCTACTCCTTGGAAACCCTGTTTCAGAGTCGCTATGAGTTGGAGTCGACTCAGTGGCACTTGACAACAACAACAACACTAGGACGCTTTTAAAAGCTTAGTCACTAAAACCTAGAAAAATAAATAAAAATAAATGTAAGCAACCATTTACCTTTAGTATAGATTAATATCACCCAGCCAAAAAGAACTGTTGGTAAAAAGATGTTTAATAAAATTCTAGTTTCTTCTGGAGTCCTGGTGTGGTGCTTAGGAAAAGCCCTTGATTGATAATCAGAAGATTGGTGGGTGGTTCAAACTCAAAGGCCTCTCCTTGGAAAACCTATGTTGTTGTTAAAGTACTGTCGAGTTAGTTTCAATTCTGAGACACCCTGTATAGCGTTTCTGAGGAGTGCTGGTGAGTTTAAACAGCTGAACCTTGTGGTTCAAATGGCCCTTGCAGTCCAGTGCATTACCCCATAGCACCACACCAGGAAATTAGATTTACAATATTTAATTTTTTTTAAACGATTGCCTATGAGCCAATCCAACACTTTTATGATTAATCATATGGTGAACGTTTTTAAATTAGTATAGTGCTTACGAGTTGGGCTGCTAACCTCAAGGTCAGCAGTTTGAAACTACCAGCCATCCTGTGGGAGAAAGATGAAGCCTTCTGCTCCGGCAAATCTTTACAGTCTCGGAAATGTTTTATATATATTATTGTCTATTATGCAAAGCCATTTGAACTGCAAGGTCGGCGGTTCAGTCTCACCAGCTGCTCCTCGGAAACCCTATACAGTATCGCTATGGGTCAGAACCGACTTGACAGCACTTCACAACAACAACATGGAAGAAGCTTTGGTGACTTTGTGGGATAAGCACTGAACTTCTAATTACACAGTCAGCGGTTCAGGCCTATCAGCAGAGGCTTCCTGGTCCTATAAAAATAGTCTGGGAACCCTATATAGGGTCTCTGTGAATTGGAACTGACAATGGGTTTAGATTTATTGTCTCTTATGGTGGAGTCCTGGTGTGGTGCTGTGGGGTTAATGTGCCAGACTGCAAAGCCTTTTGAACTGCAAGGTCGGTGGTTCAAGCTCATCAGCTGCTCCTTGGAAACCCTGTACAAGGTTGCTATGGGTTGCAACTGACTCAGTGGCACTTAACAACAACAACATAGTCCTTACAATAGTTCCATGAAAGAGATATTTCTATTAGTTTTACAGATGAAGAGTCTTAGGAGATTAAAGAGTTTGCCCAAGGTCACACAGCTATTACATGGCAGAAATGAAATTTGTGCCCAGGCCTATTTGATTCCAACGAATTTGCTCTTACTCTCAATGCTGTAATACATATATTATTACCAGTTACTGAAATTTATGTTCTTAATAATTTCAAATCTTTCCCCCGTGTCACTTGCCTGGTGTGTTTGTACACTCAGACATGGCAATTCGTAAATTATCTCAGAAGTAAGGTAGTTTGGATATTATATGTCATTTTGGGCAAGTTGCTTGACCTCTCGTTGTGTCTCTTCCTTGTTATGTTGTCTTTAAGTGCTATCGAGTTGGTTCCAACTCATAGCAACCTGTACAGGGTTTCTGAGGAGCTTCTGATGGGTTTGAACTGTCAATCTTGTAGTTTCCAGTCCAGTGCTGATCCTACAGTGCCATGTCAGAGCACTTCAATAAAAAAAAGCATTAGACAGTGTCAAGTGGTAAGAGGTAATGTTAGTGCAAACATGTTAGCACAAACATAGATAATGTTAGTGCAGACTAGAATGCTTTATGCAGTTGTAAGAATTTTTTTTTTTTCTATTAGGTCTTGAAAATATAAGCCCTAAACTGGTTGGAAGACTCTGACTTGTTAGTTTGGAAAAATTTAAATCTACTTTGGCCATGCTGTATTAGTCCCTAGAAAAGGATATCATATATCGTTAGTAAATAGAGAGTCAGTGGAAAAAAAGGAAGACCCCCAATGAGATGGATTGACACAGTGGTTGTACCAATTGTTCTCAAACATAATGATGATGAGGTTGGTACAGGACCTGGCAGTATTTTGTTCTGGTGTACATAGATTGTGTGTTTGTGTATATGTATGTATGAGAGCGTCATAAAAATTTTGGAAAAATTCCATGATCTTTTAATTCCATTTTCTATAAATGTTTTGAAACCCCCTTTTCTGTCGAGTTGATTCCAACTCACTGTGTCTCTATAGGACAGAGTAGAACTGCCTCTTAGGGTTTCTAAGGCTGGAACTCCAGGGTAATGTGCTGGACCGCATGGTCAACAGTTCAAACCCTCCAGCCACTCCTGGCAAACCCTGTGAGTTGGAATCGACCCGACAACACTTAGCACCAATAAGAATATTTTTTATATTTTAAAGCTTTTATTAGGAATTGAGTGATAGTTTACAGGGCAGATGATGATCAGTTTTGCACTCAACCCGTTGTATTTTGTTTCATTGCAATGATTACAATCTCTTCCATGCTCCACCGGTTAACAGTATTTGCCTCTATCCTCCTCTCCCCCCCTTTTTTTTATGGCCGCAAAACATACAGAAAATATTTATTTGTTTAAAAGACCACATTTTGCAAGCCAGCCTCCTAGCCGCCAGCACACAGCCTTTCTCTTTCCATAAGTCTATAGAGTCGTCAGCTGTTTTGTGTCTCCATGCCATCCCCTCTGCCTCCATCTCTGGTGTCGCTGCTTCTCTGGTTAGGATCCCACGCTCTGCTCATGTTCTTCCCTCTTGATGGTCTTAGGGTCTCTGTTCTTGGAATGAAAGATTAATTACTACCCCCTTTTTGTTATACATCTTCTACCTTTACAGTTGTGACAATCACAGTTAGTCATGATAATAGTTACTAACTATTGAGTCAAAAGAATCCTATCCCCATCTTCCTCCATCCCCTTTCACCAGACCCATTTAGACAAAAGAAAAACTTGGGGATTCCACCCCACCTACCTCACTCTGAAACTAAGCACACTCTTTGAAAACTTGTAAGCCAGCTATTTTGGGTTTTTATAGCCTCACTCTCATTTTTGGTAGCCAGTGTCTTAAGTTGCCCATCCAACAACAAAAATAACCTTTACAAAAGCAACTGCCACATCTTTGCCTTGCAGAGCATCTGGTGAGTTTATACCACAGACCTTTTCATTAGCTTCTGAGTGCTTAACCACACTGGCCAGTAGAGTTCTTAAATACATAAAACCCACTGCTGTCAAGTTGATTCTAACTCATAGCGAGTAAACTATGTATGGTTTCTGAGGCTCTAAATCTTTACAGGAACAGAAAGCAGCCTCTTTCTCCTGTGGAGCAGCTGGTAGATTTGAACTGCTGATCTTGTGGTAACCCACAAGACTATTTTAAATACATAATGTTGTTGTTAAATGCCATTGACTTGATTCAGACTCGTAGGGAATCTGTGAAGCCTGTGAGTGATGGAACTGGATATGGCTGCCTTGGTTTTCTTAGTCTTGCAAATTTTCCGCCTTTCACAGGATGCAATCTTTACCACTATCTACTATTCACAGTAGTGGAAAATGCTTGCATTTTCTCTGACAGATTTCCACTTTACACGGGTTCTGGTTTACTCTACATACCAGGGGCATTAAAACAGTTTGTGAGGAAAAGTAACGAAAAGGTAATGGAATCTTTCTATGAATTTTGTGAAACCCCCTCCTATGTATGTTGTTATTGTTATGTGCCGTGGAGTTGGTTCCGACTCATAGCAACCCTACACATAGCGAGGCTGTAAATCTTTACGGGAGCAGACCACCTCATCTTTCTCCTGCGGAACCGCTGGTAATTTCGAACTGCTGACCTTGCGGCTCATAGCCGGATTCGTAACCACTATGCAACCAGAGCTCCTGCAAAACCAAAATCATGCTAATTACCATTTAGTTGGTTCTGACTCATAGCGACCCTATGGACCAAGTATAACTATCCCACAGTGTTTCCAAGGCTGTACATCTTTACACAAAAAATCTCTTCTCTTGTGGAGTGGCTAGTAGGTTTGCGCCATCACAGCTCTCTTTGCACTACTCAGGGGTTCTTATAGAAATATAAGTGCCATCAAGTTAGTTCTGACTCATAACCACCCTGTATAGGAGCACCTGGTGGATTTGAACTGCTAACCTTGGAGTTAGAAGTCCAATGCTTATCTGACACCACCACAGCAGCGTATATGTAAATATGTATCTTAAAAAAAAAAAACAAACGCTTGAAAGTAACATTTGTAAATTCTTTCTATCTAAAAGTAAACAGTTATTGTTAAAGATATCGCTGTTGTTGTTACGGTGCCATCTAGTCAGTTCCAACTCATAGTGATCCTATATAGGGTTTCCAAGGAGCGGCTGTTGGCTTTGAACCACTGACCTTGTGGTTCAAACTGACCTTGCTGTTTAGTGCTTATTGTGCAGTGCCACACCAGGAATCCTTAGATGTAGAAGCACAATTAAATGATCGCATATAAGAAAAGCATAATTGCATAGTATCTAAATATCAAGTCCATATGATGTGGTGACCTTGTGGAAAAACATACATCAGGAGGCACAAATAGTGTCAAGATGTTACTTTATTAAATGGTGCTCAGTTTGATCATTTGCCTAAAGTGATACGTGATAGATCTCTCCATTGTGAAGTAATTTATGGAGTGATGTTTTGGCTCCTTGTGAATTACATTGTTTTCCAACAGCCTTTCATCAGTAGTTTCTTGTATCCATTGTTGATGCTTGTTTGAATAACTTATTACATTAGAGCTTGCCTTTTACTCTTTTAAACTTAGATACTGTTTTTAGAAAAAGGAAGTCATTGATCATTTCTTCATGCCTATAGGTGTTTCTGAAAAGGAAGTGGTAGTAAATGATATTTGCATTGCTTTTTCATTTCATTAAATATTTTTAATCATTTGAAACTTTCCAAATAAAATGCATTACCATTAATGTGAATTTTTGTTTCCAACAGCTGCTAACATTGTCATCCAGACTGAACCACCAGCCCCTGTTTCAATTAATAGCAACATAACCAGAGTAGTTCTTGAACCAGATAGCCGAAAAAGAGCTATGAGTGGTTTGGAAGGACCGCTTACAAAGAAACCTTGGCTGGGAAAGTAAGATATTTTCTTAATCAGTAACATCTAACCAGTGTTTGTGTGGTTATTTTGTTTTGCATTAGTAAATTTATAAAATGAAAAGTGTGATTGTTCAGTGCTTTTTAAGCTGTATAGAAGTTAGGGTTTCAAGAAAGTTTTAGAAATCAAAAACCAGAATATTCATAATTGTTATTGTTAGGTGTTTTGTAATTTACATCTACATATTTATAGGCCTAACCCAATATTACAAATTATCGGGATGCTGAAAATGAATAAGAAAGATGGAAAGGGGTCTTAAAAGCTTACGTAAGGTGCTAATATTAGTCTCTGTTTGTTTAGAACAGGGGCAGAGAACCTTTTTTCTACCAAAATTTATAGTATCATTCGTGAGCCATATATAATTATAATTAACCTGCTATATTTGGTCAAACACTGAATTAACTCACTCCTAATCTGACTGCTCTGGTAGCGTAGTGGTTACGAATCGGCCTGCGAACCTTAAGGTCAGCAGTTCGAAACTGCCAGCTGCTCCGCGGGAGAAAGATGAGGCTTTCTACTCCCGTAAAGATTTACACCCTCGGAAACCCTGTACAGGGTCGCTATGGGTCGGAACCGACTCGACGGCACTTAACAACAACAACAATCTGACTGCTGGAGTCCTGGTGTTAATGCACTGGACGGCAATGTCACTTCGAACCACAAGGTTGGCTGATCAAGCTCACCAGCCATTCCTCAGAAACCCTATACAGGGTCACTATGGCTTGGAACTGACTCGATGGCACTTAGCCACAGTAACAACAGTGTGATAGCTAGAGTCCTGTTGTGGCATTGTGCATTAAAACTCTGGACTATAAGGTTGGTTTGAACCACAAGGTCGGTGGTTCAAGCTCACCAGCTGCTCCTTGGAAACACTTTACAGGTTTGCTGTGAGTCAGAACCGACTTGACGGCACTTACCAACAACAGCAATGTGTTGGTTGGAACTGCAGTTGTCTTGGGCAGGACCAGACCAAATGATTTCTGGCCACCCCTGACTTAGAGCAACAGAGGAAAGAGAGTCAGGAATAGAAAAAATATGGAATGGGTGGCTATAATTACCTCCAGGAACAACTGCTTCCTTTGCCATGAACCTTGCCATGAAATGAGAAGAACTGTATGGTTCCTGACTATCATCGTTGTTGTTGTTAAGTGCCATCGAGTCGGTTCCGACCCATAGCAACCCCGTGCAGGGTTTCCGAGGCTGTAAATCTTTATGGAAGCAGAAAGCCTTATCTTTCTCCCGTGGAACAGCTGGTAGTTTCGAACTGCTGACTTGGAGGATAGCAGCCCAACTCATAACCACTATGCTACCAGAGCTTGACTATCATTACTGAACATTATAATAAAACATTGTATAGCTTCCTGATCAAAAGGGGAGAAGTCCAGAACAGAATTTATAATTCTCATGGACACCAGACTTTCTAGAGCCACCGTGCTGATGAACCCCTGAAATTTATGCCCTGAGATAATCTATAATGCATAAACCAAAAATATCCCCTCAAATCTTCTTAAAAGCATTCAGAAGTGCCAATAATATTGGAACATTATGAACAGCACCAGAATATTATCAGATATAGTGCTGGGAGTTGAGCCCCTCAGGTTGGAAGACACTCAAAGTATGACTCGGGAAGAGCTGCCTCCTCAGTTGACCAGGATGATATAGACAGAATAAAGATTTGGGGGTCTTCATTTGCTGATGGGGCCCAACTCAAAATGATAAACATATGCAAACATCTGTTAATATTCGAAGCATGTGTTGTACTAAGTATGAATCTAGGAAAATTGAAAGTTGTTAAAAATGAAGTGGAACAGTTCAAATGACTTTGCAGTACAGTGCATTAACCCACAGTGCCACACCAGGACTCCTTGCTGTGTATACTTCCCATCAAAAATTTAATTAAACTTTATTTTAAAATATATGAGAAAAAGGTTGTGTACTTTGCAAAATTTGGACAAAGCATCATAAAAAGGTACTCTATTGCTTTAACATTAGATTCCTTGGTAATCATGGTAAATATTTGCAATATCTGGTTTTTTGTTTCATTGGGCCATTTCTTTTATTAATTGTCTGTTTGTCAGTCTTTTTCTTTCCACCTACCCCATGTAATAAAGGAGTTCTGGTAGCATAGTGGTTACGATTCGGGCAGCAAACCTCAGGAACAGCAGTTCGAAACTACCAGCTGTTCTGCAGGAGACAGATGAGGCTTTCTGTTCCTATAAGATTTACAGCCTCGGAAACCTTTTACAGAGTCACTATGAATCGGAATCTACTCCATGGCACATAACAACAACAACAACCCCATGTAATATGGATGATGTGAACGTTGGTAATTTCTGAAAAATGTTAAGGCTTTACAAAAGATACTTTGTAATAAGTACAAACTTAGATTCATTGTTGACTCTATTCCTTGGCTAAGTATGATGTGGGAGAATTAACCAACATCTATTAATATTCCTTCCAGGCAAGGGAATAACAATCAGAGTAAACCAGGATTCTTGCGAAAGAATCAGTATACAAACACCAAATTAGAAGTCAAGAAAATCCCTCAGGAATTGAACAACATTACCAAGCTCAATGAACACTTCAGCAAGTTTGGAACAATTGTGAACATCCAGGTAAATGTGGCTGTGTTAGGGACAGAATCACTGCATTTTATGGGTCTTGGAGAGTATTCCTGTGAGCTTGAGTTAGTGATTTTTCTGACCATCTCTGCTTAGTGTTGTATACACCAGTGTACTTATACAAGGAGGCTCAAAAAGTTCCATTATCTTCCATTCCAATTCCATTTATTTTGGTGATATTTTTGAAGGCCCCTCATAAAAAGTGGATGCTTTATAGTGAAATTGTTAAACTGAATTTATTCTTGTGATTTGTTTGTTTCTTCTTTGCAACCTCTTTCAGAGACACACTGGCTATTTAATGCAATTTTGTTGATAGTTTTATCACTGAACAAAGGAATGTTTTAACTGCTGTTGTGTTTTTACTGGATAACAGATGTTTAGTAATTTCTAAGATTGTAATCTTGTCTACTGACTTGACTTTTGTATTGTAAAATAGTAATTAGTTAAAGGTAGTTCCTGCCTTGGACAATTTTTGGTAGTATTCTATCCAAGATCAAACAGTTTATAGCTTTGGATTCTGCTGTCTACTTGTTAGATAATTAAATATGTGCGTTTGTGACTGGGGGTTAAGGGTATCTAACGGCCAAAATTTGATTTGTTAACCTTGTTACGTAAGTGTTGCTATCAAACCAAAATAACAGAATTGAGAACTGGTATTATAGGTGTCCGGCTGCTAATCAAAAAGTTAGTGGTTCCGACTAGTGTACTAGTTTCGTGGGAGAAAGACCTGGCAATGTACTCGCATAAAGATTATAGCCTAGAAAGCTGTACTGTTTCTATAGGATAGAACTACCTTTCACATGGGGTCACTACTAGTGCCAGCAACAGCACTGTAGGACTTAGTATTTTATAGAGTTTAATCTTATTTTTCTCCTGATTACTGAAGTAGTAGTGCATGTTTGTTGTTTTTAAATGCCATCGAGATGGTTCCAACTCATAGCTACCCTATTTTATAGGGTTTCCAAGGAGCAGTTGGTGAGTTTGAACCACTTGACTTTGTGGATCAAACTGACCTTTTGGTCCAGTGCTTATTAGTTGTACAATATTTGTAATTACTTTAAATACAGGTAGAAAAACATTACCCAAATCTCTCTACTGAGCAATAAAAATGGTTTATCTTTTGATGAAAGGGTACAGTTTGAAATTTATTTCTATAGAAGACTATACATACGTATATATATATATGAAATGTGATCACATCTAGTTTTAAATTATGTTAGTTCTTGTAGTGTTTTCCTGAATTCTTCTAAAATGTTTTCTGTATTCTTGCTTTCTTCGATCTTTCTGTAAGACCTTTGAAGGTACCTAAATATCATCTTTTGAATTCTTTTTCAGTTAGTTGCGCTACCTTCTCTTCCTCAGAAATGTTTCCTGGATCTGTATCTTGGTCATTTGTTTGAGCTAGTCTCTCTTTTTTCTTTGTGGGAGCTAAAATGGTCTGTTGTCTTTGTGCATTGTGCTGTTGGACCTGGAGAAGAGAAAATGCTCAGTGGCTCCTGCAAGGCAAGGAGCTCTTGAGGTGGATGTGGGTGGGATGTGACAGCAGATTTCCTGGCCCCAGATGGAGTCCCTTTTGGCTCTAGTGTTATCTATTATCAGGCACTCAGTCTGGAAGTAGTTAGTAGAGACCCTTGATGGTACTTGTTTCAGTGTCTGTTAGGACCATGGGGCAGCTGGTGGCAGGGTGACTGGTTAAATTTTAGTCTGGTGACTCTGTGGGTTCTGCAGGCCTAGAACCAAAGCAACACATTTGAGTCTCACAGAGGCATGACTCCCTACCATGTAGCTTCGAACTCCCAGAGAGCAGAGTCTACACTGGGGTTAGATGAAGATGGGAGCTAGCTACAACTTTGGTCACCAGGAGGGTGTGGGGGAAAAAAGAAGGAATCACACTTTTCCAGTTGCCTGTGTGACTCTGCTCACAAGATAGTCATATTGTGTCTGGCCTGCCACGCTCCAGTCTCCCTCCCTCCCTGTCGGTGCTTAATTCTCCTGCCAGCAATCAATCCATCCACCTCTCTGACCTTTCTTCTGAAGTTCAGGTTCCCTGAATTTTCATCCCTGTCTTGTTTAATTTGGGCTTTTTTTAATCTTTGTTGTAGAGGTCCATATATTATGTCTGCCTAGTCTGCTATCTTGCCAGAACTCATCCCCTCGATCGTTACATATTCTTTATGACATTTAAATTTTTTAGATGGCTTAATGCAGAATCGATGGGCTCAGATGTAGCAATGATTGAGGTTGGTGCAGGACCAGTTAGTGGTTCGTTCTGTTGTGCATTGGGTTGCTATGAGTAGGAATGTTGACTCGATGGCACCTAACAACAGCAATAATATAGAATAGTTACTTATTCTCTGTTGTTAGAAATCTATGTTGTTTCTATTATCTAAAAACAATACTGTTAGCATTTCTGTGAGTAAACCTTTTATTATTTTTTATGATATTACTGAATTAAGGTATATTAGCATTTTTGTTAATTTAATAAATACTATTAATATAAAACAAAACATTTGCCACTGTAGTCATTTTACTTTACATTTACAATTTCATGATATGCACTACATTTTTCATATTGCATAACCAGTAGGGAAAAAACCAGTTTGAAGCCTGTTTTTCAGTGGCTGATATTTTGGAACTAGATTTTCAGGCCTTTCTTCCTATGTAGAGTTGAACCTGTAACTCTTCTAGGTTGTCAACAATAAAATGTTAACCTTTTATACCAGAATATACTATCCAGGACTCCCTCTGGTAGCCACTTTGTTGTTGTTAAGTTCCATTGAGTTCGTTTTGACTCATTAGTGATCCTGTATAGGGTTTCCCAGGAACAGCTAGTGAGTTTGAACCTCCAGCTTGCAATCCAATGCTGATCCTATAGCAGCACTCCAGGACTTGTAGCCACTAAGGATGCACTAACTTGCCAAGTTGTACCAATTGATATCCCCAAATATTAATATATTGTAAGTGTATTAACACTGTAATATTGATCTACTAAGACTTAAAAAAAAAGTTTGATAGGTGAAAAATTATACTCATTTTAATTTGCTTATATTTTTATTACCATTAGCTAGAGTCTTCTTAATATTATCTAGACCATCTTCCATTCTTTCACATTTACCTATCCATTGTTTTTGCCCTTTTTTGAGGGATTTGTTTCTATTATTGATAATGCTTTACCAAATCCGTGCTTACACTATATGTTAAAAATGTATTTTTTGTCATTCATTTTATGGCATGTTTTGCTTGGCAGAGGTCTTAAATTTTTATATAGTCCAATTTAAATCATTTTTGTCTTTATGAATTGCATCTTTTTATATATGCATAAAAAGCCTTTACAAAATAAGGTTGTTCACCTTATATTTCCCCCTGATTTTTATAGTTTTGTTTGTTTGTTATTATAAAACAGTTTTTCTTTGAAATTTATTTTAAGATAACGGGGATATAAAAAGTTAGGTAAGCATGTAACCTAACTTTTCCACAGTGCTTATATATTACTAGGATGAATTAATTATTAAATAATTTTTCCTTTTCTTATATAATTTTGAAACGTGCATGTCATCTTTAGTCTTTGTAGACCTTGACTCAACAAAGAATTTAGAATGGATTTCTGCACAGTGTTTTCTGTTTCTGAATTCATTGACTTATTTGCATTCAATTATTTGTTAATTTCTGTGTTTTTGTTTTACTTTTCTGTTTTTCTTATAGGTTGCTTTTAAAGGTGACCCAGAAGCAGCTCTTATTCAATATCTCACCAATGAGGAAGCCAGGAAAGCCATTTCCAGCACAGAAGCAGTTCTAAATAACCGATTCATTCGAGTCTTATGGCACAGGGAAAACAACGAACAACCAGCACTACAGCCCCCAACACAGCTGCTCCTCCAGCAGCAGCAAACGCTTAGTCACCTCTCACAGCAGCACCATCACCTGCCACAGCACCCCCATCAGCAGCAGGTGTTGGTTACTCAGTCACCTCCTTCAACAGTACATGGAGGCATCCAGAAGGTAAGCTACCTGTTCACATGGAATAAAAGCTCATCTGATCCTGTCAGTAGTCCTCAACTCATGCTCCTTGGATCCTACACCAGTACTACTCATAGTTCCATCTACAGACAAGCAGGTTTTGATCTCCGGGAGCCTATGAGAATAGCACATTTTTAGGGCTCACCACAACCTACTACTGAATCAGAATTTCTAGGGTGGGGTCCAGCAGTCTGCATTTTCAAAAGCTCTCCAGGTGACTCATATACTAAAGTTTGAGAAGCACTCTTTTCCATCAGAGCCACTTATCTGGGTCCAGATTCCTGACCCTCACCTCTTAAGCCTTGAGAGTCAATTTCTTGGGCTAGGACCTATTAATGTACATGTTTAATAAAACTGAGTGGTACTTATGCACACTAAAATGTGGTAACTGTGCATCACTTGGACAACTCTGAATCTAGAACTTGTTCCTGAGTTTGTGCTAGAATCCATCTGCCTTTTATCCACCCATTTGTTCTGCTTTTTCCCATATAGAAAATTTTGGCACCTTTTAAATCTGGAATTAGAAGCTCCATGAGAATTGAGATTTTTATCTGTTAATATTCATTCTGTCCCTAGTACCTAGACTAATGGAGGAACAAAAAAACAATTAACAGTATTTGCCTGTGTGAATGAATGTGTGCTCACATGTATTATGTTGTGATGTTTCAGACATTTAAAAATATAGATAACATTTATGTATGTACCACTCCACTTAAAATATTAAATCTTACAGATAATTGAAGCTGTCTGCCCTTTCTATTTCTTTATCTTTGTCCTCAGCATAATGTCTTTTGTAAATTCGTATCATGCCTAAGTATGTCTTTACATTTCTTTGGTAGGGTTATTGTTGTTAAGTACTGTTCAGTCAGTTCCAACTCTTCAGTGACCCTGTGTATAGGATTTCTGAGGTAGCTAATGGATTTGAATTGTCAACCTTGTGGTTCACATTCTAATGCTGATCCTATGTAACCACATTGATAATTTATGGTTTGTTTAGTTTTTTAACATGGTAAAAAATTATGTAACAAAATATTATTATTGCAGCTTTTATTTATTTATTTTTTACACTTAATTACCATTAAAGTAACCCATTCTTTTGAATTCCTTATTAGGTAGTTCCAGTGCCATTTCTTCCTCAAAAAGTTCTTCTGTCTCTGAATTCTGTCACTTGTTAGAATCACTTTGTCTTATTTCTTTTTATGGACTGAAATTGTATGCTTTCTTTAAGACATTGTGTTGTTATTGTATTTGTGTTTAATTGTTGATAGTTGGTGTGTTCTTAGGCACTTACTACCTGTCTCCTGTTGGGTGTGGTAGAGAATGTGAGTATGTGCACAGTTCTCTGTTCACTTGTAGCACAGTTGAGTTAAGGTTTGACTGGGGTTGTTTGCTGTCTATTGATGATCAAGTGGTAGAGGCATGGATAGTGGCCCTCTCACACCCAATAAGTTGGCTGGAGAAGGTCTGGGTGTGACTCAACTATATGGGCATGGTTGCTGTTTCTGTGATCCATTATTGTTGATTGTTGCTGGGACAAGAAAAAAAAAAGAGAGAAAAACAAAAAAGGAAAAAAAGGGAGAAAAAAACCCCAGGGGAAAAAAAAAAAAAAACAAAAAAGGAAAAAAAGGGAGAAAAAAACCCCAGGGGAAAAAAAAAAAAAAACAAAAAAGGAAAAAAAGAAGCAGTGGGGAAAGCTGGCAAACAATAGCAAGAATAAAAATGTAATAACAAAATAAGGAAAGTAAAATAAAAACAATTGAAGAGAAAAAGAAAAATATAAGCAAAACTAGAGAGGAGGAAAAAAGATAATAGTAAAGAAAACTAAGAAAAGATTCAAAAGAGAAAGAAAGGAAGGAAAAAGCAACAGAAGAAAAGAAAGAAAAGCAGAGAAAGAAAATATGAAAAACGAAGGGAAAGGAAAGGAAAAAAGTGGGAAAAAAAGAGGACCCAGCGAGGAGGAAACTGGTCTCAGGATACCTGGTATGGGTCAGTACCCTCTGCCAGCCAAGGAGATCCTGGAGTGTGTGTGGGAAGAATGGTAGTAAAGGGAGTAGGATGCCTGATCCTAGGTTCAGGCTTAGATATTGTCTGGGGTCAGGGCACCTGATCCAGAAGTCATTTGTGTCAGCTCAGAAGGTGGCTAGGTGAGGAGGTTTGATCCTGGAAGGCACTCTTTTGGTCATAGAGAGCAGATGGGATCAGGGCAGCTGATTATGTATGGAATGAGTTTTTCACTTTCCAGAAGTGATGACCAGGACCCAATACTTTGAGTTCTACTGTTCTGATGCAGCAGAGTTCCATCTCTTCTATATGCAGCAACCGATCCAGATGAGTATGTGGCTCTGACCTCAGGCAGGGTAGGGGTAGTGTGCATGACCCTGACCTAAAGTTAAGCAGGTGTGTCACCGGCCCATGGTAGGTGAGGGTTGGGACTGGCCACACTTCTGGTCAACAGAAGGGTCATGTGAACAAAGGAAGATCCCATCTTTTTTGTAGTCAGCCACTGGAGTACATTTGTGTTGTCAGGCCTGTGTCTCGATGGAAAGCTGCTTGCAAAAATTCAAAATAGCTGATAGTTCATCTGTCTGTCTCCTTACTTGCTGCTTTTGTTCAGCTTTTTCTCCTAGTTTGTATTTAGTCCTCTCCTCTGAAATTTAGGGTTCCAGGATTATCTCTCAGATTTTCATCTCTTGTGTCTTTTTTGTTCCTTTGCCCATTTTTTATTGTGAATTGAGTGATCATTTACATGGAAGACCAGTTTTGTTCTCTAACAATAGTATTTTGTTTCATTTCAATGATTACAATCCCCTCCATCACCATCGGTTAACAGTATTTACCTCTATCCCCGCTCCCCCTTTTTTTATTTGCTGTACACAAAAATACGCAGGATATATGATCATTTAAACAACCAAAAGGAGTCCTGGTGTGGCGCTGTGGGCTAACGCGTCAGACTGCAAAGTCGTTTGAACTGCAGTGTCGGTGGTTCAAGCTCATCTGCTGCTCCTTGGAAATCCTATACAGGGTAGCTATGGGTTGGAATCGACTTGACGGCACTCAACAACAATAAGGGCACATTTTGCAAACCAGCCTTCTGCCTGCCAGGACACAGCCTTTCTTTTTCCACAAGTCTAGAATCCTCAGCTGCTCCCTCTCACCTTGTCCTCATCTCTGCCCCCATCTGTGGTGTTGCTGCTTCTCTGGTTAGAATCTATGTTCCACTCATGTTCTTTTCTCTTGATGGTCCTCTGTTCCTGGAATATAAGATTAACTACCCCCCTTTTTTTGTTACACAATTTCTACCTTTACGGTTGTAACAATCGCAGTTAGTCACGATAAAAATTACTCACTATTTAATCAAAAGAATCCTCACCCCATCTTCTTTCACCAGACCCATCAAGACACAATAAATACTATTCGGTGTCTTCGCCCTTTTTTTGATTGAGTTATCTGTCTTTATTTTCACATTGTAGGAGTTCTTTATATATTTTGGATATTAAATATTTGATTTTCTCTCAGTCTGTAAGTTGTTTTTATTTTGCTTATAAAGTCTTTTGATACCCTAAAGTTTTCCATTTTGATGACCTCCCATCTATCTGTTTTATCTTTCATTGCTTGTGATTTTTGGTGTCATTATCTAGGAATTCATTGTCAAAAATTAGATTCTGAAGTTTTACTTTTTCTAGGAGATTTGTGGTTTCTTAGGTCTTTGAGTCATTTTGAGTTAATTTTCTTATGGTTTTATGTATAGCTCTAGCTTCATTCTTCTGCATGTGGAAATCTAGTTGATCCAGCACCATTTATTAAACAGATTCTCCTTTCCCTAGTAAGAACTTAGTACTTGTGTTGAAAATCAGTTGACCATGGACATATGAGTTTATTTCTGGACTCTCAGTTCTGTTCTGTTGGTCTTTATGTCTGTCGTTGTGTTCTTAGGCATGCTTTTAATCATTGTTACAAATGTATTTATTTTCATAATTACACAGATGATGAACAAGCCACCGACATCAGGTGCTTATGTCCTTAACAAAGTTCCTGTTAAACATCGTCTTGGGCATGCAAGTGGTAGCCAGAGTGATGCAGCACACATATTGAATCAGTCGGGTGGTGCTGGAGAGGATTGCCAAGTATGTATCTCTGTGAACCTCCAGTCTGTTTATAGAGTTGCTTAAAACAGGTTTGGTTTTTATAATTATACAAAGAAATTAATGAATTTATTACCATCCAGATTTGTAATATCTCACGTCCTCAGTCAAAACAAGCATGACAACTGACATAAATATGGCTGGTAAACTTCCCTAATTTCCATGAGTCAGCCAGGAATTTTCTAGTTAAATTTGTTTTTCTATTCAAGACAGGTTAGAATTTGAAAATCTTGGCCATTTATTAATGAGTTGTTATTGTTGTTGAGTGCCGTTGAGTTGGTTCCGGCCCATGTTGACCCTGTATAGGGCTACCGAGGAGCAACTTGTGAGCTTGAAGCAGTCCAGTGCATTTACCCACAGCACCACACCAGGACTCCTATTAATGAGTTGTTGTTAAGTGCCGTTGAGTCGATTCTGACCCATAGTGACCCTATATAGGGTTTCCAGGGAGCAGCTGGTGAGCTTGAATCACAGATCTTGCAGTTCAAACGATTTTTCAGTCTGACGCATTAGCCCACAGCTCCACACCAGGACTCCTGTTAATGAGTAGGTGTCCATATTAGCCTCTTTCTGTCATTCTTTTTTTTCTATATATAGGAAAATGATAAATCTAATTTAGGACATAGTGAAGTGATTCTATCATAATCCGAAGAATAAATTTGAAATATGGCTGAAGTACTTTCTTTTGCTTTCTGGAATGGCTCTAGCATGGTGATTATTTTAGAAAGATTCAGGAAACCCCTGAAAAAGAACAACTGTGAAGGAGTGGCACTAGCCCTATCAGACATTTAAAATATGACCAGATTTTTATAATTAATATAATTTAATATTGTTACATGAATACACAGGTCAGTGTAACAGAATTAAAAAAAATCCATAAAGCAGTTGCAAATGGGAATTTATTATATGTTAACATAGTAATCATTATCAGTGTAGAAAATGCAGACTTTTAAATAAGTGTTCGCGGGAGAAAGACGAGGCTTTCTGCTCCTGCAAAGATTTACAACCTCGGAAACCCTATATAGGGTTTCTATGAGTTGAACTTACTCCATAGCATTTGACAATAATTGGAATAACTATAAGAAAAAATATCAAATTCACTTTTAATTACTTCATGTTGTTGTTGTCGTTATGTGCCATGGAGTTGGTTCTGACTCATAGCGACCCTGTACAGGGTTTCTGAGGCTGTAAATCTTTATGGGAGCAGAAAGCCTCATCTTTCTCCCGCGGAACAGCTGGTAGTTTCAAACTGCTGACCTTGCTGTTTGCAGCCTGATTCGTAACCACTATGCTACCAGAGCTCCTTGATAATTACATCATACTCCATGATATATTCCAAATGGATTTGACTTTTAGATGCTGATAGAGATGTAAATGAGACTTTTAGATGCTGATAGAGATGTAAATGATACAACTCTCCTGAAAACAAATTTGATAGTAGCTAGCAAAATTATGTAAACTAGAAATTCTTCTAAGGATCTATCCCAAAGATTCACTAGCCAAAATGTGGAAAAATCTAAGGACAAGACAGACTGTTTATAATACCAGAAGACTGGAAACAACTCAACTTGCCATCAGTGCTATGTACACAAATGATGTGGAATAAGAATGTGCAGCATTTATACAGTTAGAGTAATACAGTTTTACAAAGAAATAAGTAATATTTTTACATGAAATCAAAGTGGAAGAAAAAATTAGGTTGTTACAATTAGTGGTGGAATCCTGGTGTGGCACAGTGGTTTAATGCGCTGAACTCTGTAATATTGGTTTGAACTGCAAACTCGGCAGTTAAATCTCATCAGCCTCAGAAACCCTATACAGGGTCACTATGAATCCGAACCGACCTCAATGGCACTAACAGTAACACCTATTAGTGGAGTGACCAAGAGAGTCCTGGTTTGGCACTATAGGATAAGACCTGCACTATTAAGGTTGGAGGTTCAAACCCACCAACCACTCCTTGGAAACCCTAAATCGGGTCTCTGTGAGTCGGAACTAACTTGATGGCACTTAACAACAGCAACAATTTGTGTAAGAAAGTAGGCGTCATTAATACATATAAATATTTACTTGCAGTACAAAAATTTATAAAAGGTAAACTGTACAATTTAAATATGTTAGAGCATCTAAAAGAGCTAGATGATTTGGACGGTGTCTTAATTTTGTAGATATTAATTGAAATTATTTAAATACTGAATATAATTATTGTTAAGCTAAAGTCCCTAAAATTGAAAGAAAAATGAAACATGTGGTATCATGTCTGCATAGAGAAGAGCTATTCTGAATGCTTTTAAACAAAGTGATTTGACTCTTTAATGGGATATGCTGTAAAGGACAAAAAAAACAATGAACAAAGCTCTTTTTATAAATCATATAGTTGGTATTCTGAAACTGATTTCTCAGTGTTGACAGGATATATCAGATGACGAATTTTGTTGGTATCTTTGACAAGATTTTTTGATTTGTTGCAAAGAGAGGAAAAATAAGTGTAAGTTAAAATATTGTATTCCTGAATTTGAATCAAAAGTATCAGTATAAACTCAGATTTTATTTCTGTTATAAACAGCAACCAAAAAGCAGAATGTTTCCTAATTCTATTCACTGAAAAGGTCTAGAAACTATAATCCAAGTGGTGGTGAACACCCCTACGGCCAAAACTCTAGATTTATTACTAGGGTTCTTAATGTTCCAGATGAGCATAGAATATTTCCTTAAGCTAGAAAGTAGGGAAGGTTGCAATGATCATAAGTTCTCAGAGGAAAATACCTCTCACCAAAGCTCGAGCTTTACCCCCCAATTGAAAGGAAATTTTGGGGAATACACAAGATGGATGACATAGCTTCTTTAACAAATAAGTGCTCACTAAATTATAGGTGTTGCCATTTTTATTTAAAAAATAATGGTAATAGTAACATGACTGCCAAGTATGTAGGCTATTCACAGTACTTGACGTTTTCTGTGTAGCTTAAGTAGCTTAATTTTTAGAACAATGAAGTATCATGGAAATTGAGAAATTTTATATCTGGAAGTATAATTTCCATAATTGAATTTTATGTGAATTTCTTAATGCTATTTCCTGCATCTCTTATATATTTAAAGCTTTTTTAAAAAAATTTAAAAAAAAACTAGAAGAAGATGGAAAATGCAGAATGCATTAAGAAAGAATCAGATAGATAGGAGTGTGCCACATAGCTATTCTATGCTTTCAAAAGGAGATGAATTGGAATATCATCTGATCAGAAGAGGAAAGGAATTAGTGAACTCATAGCACATTTGCTTCAGTATAATATTAAATTGTGACTATAATTACCAATCAAGTTTCCAGTTACTGGAAGTATAGATTCTTATTTAGACTTTATGGAAATTATAAATTATAAATATGTTACTCTCTAGTTAAGGCCCAGGAAAATACCTGTAGTTGAACAAGTTGAGTTTGTTACTTTGTAAGGAAGAGTGCATACATTGAAAATCATGGAACATCTCAGTGGGCGTTTAAAATAATGTATTTTAGTATTGGGCCTTGTGTTAATTGATTTTAAGGAAGGTTTGAGGAAACACCAATACTTCTATGTTGGGGTAGCTTAATCTTATTTGGAAGGAGAGAAGATTAGAATGAGTCTGATGCTATAATTAGTAAAAAAGTAACAGTCACTGTATTAGCCAGAGTAAAGGGATGGGATCTTTAGTTACTTTTTTTTTTTTTTTTTGGCTGCCTTAATATTTTACTGAGCGTGTCATTTAAAAATGGTGATGTCACAGTAAACAACAGTTTTGGTATAACAGAAGTTTCACAGCTTGAAACTTGTATTTCAAGTATTTTCCTATTTTAGTTAATGGTTTGGATACTATTTTTGTTTTTGTCTATGTGGAGTCATGTTTATGCAGTGGTGTCTCTGTCATGGTCATAGAGTGGCCTCATCTGATGTTAATCTTCTGTAAAATTGCTTGTGTTTAATAGGAGCACACTTAAGTTTTAGCTATGCATGTCACATCAGCTCCTAGATGGCTGTTGGTTCTGTTTTGTTTTGTTTTTTACTTTCTTACAATTATGTGCAAATGTTGTGTACCCATTGAGTCAGTTCCAACACGAAACAACCCTTTGTATGGTTTCCGAGAGCAACTGGTGGGTTTGAACTGCCAGCCTTGCAGTTAGCAGCTCAATGTTTATTCTACAGCACCACACCAAGACCCTATATAATTGTCAACATACAAAATGCAAAGTATATGATTATATTGAACAATGAAATTGTATTAATGAAAAATAATGAATAAATCTGTTTTTGTCTTTGGGTGACAATTGAATTTATGTATAAATAGCTAGTATTTGTAAATGAAATTTTTAAGTGTAAAAAGAATTAACTCCTAAAAGTAGAAATAATATACATTTTTAATGAAATATTATTTTAAAGCATTTCTAAGGTTTAATGTAATTATATTTATGTATTTTAGATATTTTCCACACCAAGCCATCCAAAAATGATCTACAGCTCCTCAAACTTAAAGACACCTTCAAAACTTTGTTCAGGGTCTAAATCTCATGATGTTCAAGAAGCTCTTAAAAAGAAACAGGTAATAACTTCTTTCTTTAAAGAGTAAAGGACCCAATGAATTCTAGTAATTATGTTAACATCTTTGAATGTGCTCATGTAGTGGAATTATACAAAAGTGATCATTTTGTTCCTTTTCTATTTATTGTGCACTTGAAAAAAAAGAAAAAAAAAAAACAATGATTTTTGCAATTGCCAGTCAGTGGCCACAGCAAACACAAGGAATAACATTTTAGATATAAAAATAAACAACACTGAGCTGTCATAATTTTATTTTTCCTTCCAAGAGAGACAGCACTTTGACTGAAGTGTTTCTTTTCATTTTAATTTCTTTCTGGTGTTTAAATTTCACAAAGTATGTTGTTATTAATGAATTTTTCTGTCAGTTTTTCATACTGTGGTGGCTTGTGTGTTGCTGTGATGCTGAAAGTTTAGGCTCTGATATTTTAAATACCAGCAAGGTCACCCATTGTAGACAGGTTTCAGCTGAGCTTCCAGACTAGGAAAAAGGACAAGCGGACTACTTCTGCATGTTTAACCACTGAAAACCTTATGAATTAGCAGCAAAACTTTGTCAGATACAGTGCTGGAAGATTAAAACATGATGAACAGCATCAAAATATTATCTGTATATAGTGCATGAAGATGTGCCCCAGAGGTTGGAAGGCACACAAAATATAACTAGGGAAGGAGCTGCCTTCTCAGAATAGTTTGACAATGATGACATGAATGGATTGCTTTTGGGAACTTCATTTACTAATAGGGCACAACTCAAAATCAGAAGAACAGCTGCAAACATCTATTAGTAATTGAAACACAGACTGCTTAAAGTATGAGTGTAGGAAAATTGGAAGTTGTCAGAAATGAAGTTGATTGTATAAAGATTGATATCTTAGGTATTAGTAAGCTGAAATGGACTGACTATACCAGGAATGACACATTGAAGAGGAATGGCATCACATTCATCATCAAAAAGAACATTTCAAGATCTATCTTGAAGTACAGTGCTGTTTGTGATCACCTATAGGAAGACAGTGAATACTGCCAGTATTCAAATTTAAGCATCAACCACTAAATCCAGGGATGATGAAATTGAAGAATTTTACCAACTTCTTCAGTCTGAAATTGTTCAAACATGCAATCAAGATGTATTAATAATTACCATTGATTGGAATGTGAAAGTTGGAAACAGAGAGGAAGGGGCAGTAGTTGGAAAATACGGCCTTGGTGATAGAAACAATGGTGGAGATTACGTGATAGAGTTTTGTTTTTTTTTCCTTAAATGCTTTATTGTGAATTATGTGATTGTTTACATGGGAGAACATTAGTTTTACATTCATTCTATCTTATGTCGTCTCATTGCCATGGTTACAATCCCCTCCATGCAATCCTTCCC